TTTTGGAAATGCTGGCAGCTTCCGAAGGACCTCTTCCCCTCACTTTCGTAGCTCAGGCTTTTGGTTTAGCTCCAGATTGTCGCGAGACGAAAGACATCATCAACAAAATGAATGAAACCATATCACGCTTGTTACACGTTTCAGATGACATGTTAACCGTTTTTCACAAATCCTTTATTGATTGGCTTCTAGCAAAGGGCTACAAAGATCACCAGTATACTGTCAAGGTCGATGATGGACATAGATCGCTCTGGCTTTTATGCGAAAAGGTTTTTAAGGAAATTGTGGAAAGTGTTCGCTCAGGACTTGAGGTGAAGTTTACTAATGACGTGGAATACGCTCTGAAACATGGTTTAAAACATCTAGAAAAGTGTGAAATGGAGGAAGGTGTCTTTTGGTCAATTGATGTTATTATTGTATGTTATATGTTATCTGTAGTCTATTCAGATGTATTGCAGCGTTTCTGGCTCAATATACTCCAAAGTTCTTGGATTAAAAACGAAGATTTACGCGCCCGTATTTCGTACCATGTCATTGAAGTTGGCTCTTTTAATCATGCCCTGAATCAAATGAGGCTGTATCACAAACATTCAAAACAAGTTTTTCCGACAGTATATTCACAATGTTATTTACAAGCGGTTCTTACACATTCTCCAGAAGGTTATTTCAGCGATGATGAGAAGAAAATCGCGGAGTGGCTACTATCAAACCTTTCACCTTTTGTCGAGTCGAATTCTTACGAAGTTTCGGTTTTGCCGCGAGCAGTCTGGGAAGACAGTGACTTTTGTCTTAGTAGGGCTGTTGCTTTATCTAACGATGAAAAAAGTGTAGCAGTTATAACAGATAATTTTATCTGTGTGTTATCCCTACCAACTTTAGTTGAAATTATGAGTTATTCAACAAAATTGGGAACAAATCCATGCTGTACATTTTCTCCAGACGATTCGCTCATATTATTTGGTAAACTGGAAACGGCGTTTAACATTCCTGGAAGAAAGGAAGTCCCATTTTTCCCTGGAAATGAAGAGACGTTCCTGTCTTGTGCGTTTTCCCTTAACGGCAAAAGACTGCATGGTGACTAGCGACGGTTCAAACACCATTAAACTATGGGACGTTGCTAAACAAACGCTGCTGTCGTGGCTTTGTGCTGGATTTCCTGTTGATTGGTGTTCTTTTAGTGTCACAGGGTTATTTATTATTGCAAATTCAGATTTTCCATCTTATCCGGGTTATTCGTTGTGTGTTTGGAACGCCATCACATTGCAAAGAAGTGATAAGCGAGAATTATCTTACGTGGAAAGGGAGAAACCAGATGTGTTAAAGAGAAGGAAATGTGAACGATGTTTTCAGCGAGGATTTGAGGAACCAAATTCTAAACACTTAGAAATAAGGAAAAGTGTGCCTAAATATAATACAATTTCGTGTCCGTGGATCTGCAAAGGTGTAGAGTGTATTTTTTCTTCGGAAGAATTTTGTTATTCGAGTGACACAGAAAGTATTCCTTTGACTGCGATTGTTGCTTGGAACTACCTTGTTGCTTCCCCTTTCCTTCAGCCAATCAGAATGATAGCTCTAGAAGAAAGTCACTGGCTCTATTCAGATAATGAAAAACTAGTTGTCTTCAAGACATTAGCTCCTACACAAGATCATTCCTGTCTGTCACACCCAACGGAGGTTTTTTCGAGTTCGTTTTCTCCTGACGGCTCTCGACTTGCATCCTGCAACTCAGATGGATATATCAACGTATGGAATGTCTGTACCAGCCAAGTTGAACAACGTTTTAAAAGCAATAAAGGCGGTTCACGATTTGCATGCTGGTGGTCGGAAAATTTCTTGTTTGTGGCAGTGGCGTAACAGCACAACTAGGGGCCCGTGGTAAAAATTTAAAAGGGGCCCCCTACACACGTAACTACATAGTTTCTTGAAGAATTCCATCATACACAAACAAAAACCCTTTTTTTAAAAAAAATTTGTTTCAAACACACCACATGGTTGGCGGTTGTCCAACAAATTCCCAACTACCCCATCTGTTTAATTTTACTTCTATTTCTACGCCCCTTAATTCGCAATGAACTATTCAACAAATTACTCATTATGTCCCCCTTTTGCCCACATATACATAACGTCCTATTTTTTTCTCTAGTTGGTTTAATTCAGACAATTGTTACAAATTAACTTATAACTATATAAGAACTACAATATGGTTCCAATTACCTATGTCAAAGTATAAAATAAACATAAGGTTAAAATTACATATTTCAAAATTACACGCGCGCAAATGAGAAATTGATTTGAAACGAATCATCAATGATTATGTACTTTTCGCCTCAAATATTCTTGTTCTCTGGTACGATTTCGCTCTCTAGCCTTTGAATTGAACTTTTTATATGTAAGTTCGTGCGATTTCTCTTGTTTTATTCATAGAATTACAATAACCTTCTAATCTCACAGGGGCCCCCTTAAGCCAGGGGGCCCGCGGGTTCGCACACCCTGAGCCCATAGTAGTTACGCCACTGGTTTGTGGTTAGTGAATTTAACGGGTTTCTCTTTTTAACGCGATACCCGGTAGATGACAATTTAGGGATCTTATTCACTCACAGTCACCACGTGCCACTGTCTCATGTAACGCAGGAGTTTGAATTCATGGATTTCTCTGAAGGCTTGCTCATCTTCGAGTGCGGAGAGACTAAATCCGTGTCAGTAATCGATGTCAGGAGTGTTGATGATCCGGTAATGATCACGTTGCCTGGAATTAAACCTGCAATGAGAGTGGAAATCTCGCCTGATGCTTCATTTATCTTTGGTTGTGACGCAAATAATAACTTTATTTGGAAAAGAAACGCCGAAGCACCTGTCTATGAAGTAGTTTTTTTCAATGATACGTCACGAAATAGATTTAAACATTTGACATGTTGCTTCAGTAATGACATCAAAGTCGCTGTACTTTTTTGCCCTCTGCAGCGTGTGCCTGGTGAAATAATTGATCTGGATAGCGGTTGTTCCCATACTATGCATTTTGATTACCTCGGTTTTGATGTCAAACCGTTTTGCATTCGCGAGAAATGGGTTGTTATGGCGGTATTTCGTAACTATATCGCATTTTATGACATGGGTTCTGGCGCTGTTATCAACTATTCCTTTCAACGATACTTCACAAATGATGGGATGGCGAAAGCAAAACTGTGTCCAAAACAGACCAGGCTGGCCTTTCCTAACTTCAAAGGCGATATGGTGTTTCTTCGACTGTCCATTCCATCAAATCCTTTGTTGCATGATATTAAGCGAAAGGCGGCTTATAGGAAGACAATTGTGTAAACGCGTGATTAAAACGTGCGTTTCGACAACACAAGTTTAATCGCAGGGGCGCCAAAAAGTTGAAAACGTTTTAGGACAATCCACAATAAGCTGTACATATTTCTCTACACGCCGGTTTTCCCTGCACAAGTTGTTTATGACTCATACCTGGCAAATATAAATAAAACCGTTACCACAAAGATTATAACCAATGAGATGTTCTGGAATTGACTGACCTACGTATGGATTATGGATATTGTAAAGAGAACATTGTTTTGGGGCAGCGGCTAGACTTTGCTTGGAGCTGGTCTAGAATGGAGAAGTAAGACACTTCCTTCCCTCCGTTTGTCTGGGAGTTCACCTTGGGCAAGTGATAGCACTCCCTTGCCTCCCTAACTGGGGTTACAGTTTGTTAAACAAAACAAAGATGATATCTTGAATACATCTGAAAGAAACTTTATAAATCGTACATGACCGAGGTCAAAGTGTTATGGTGTTGTTTAAAATGTCAATCAAGAAAGCATTGATGTGATATCATACGGCTAATAGTCGTCACGCATGTTGTTGGCGTTGGTGATGTTTGCACATTAGCTACAACGGTGAAGATAGGTTTGTATACAGTTATTTGCAAGCCACCGTTAACCGTGAAGTTTTTATCACGTTTGTTTACGTTCAAACTTTTGGGTTTAAATGGAAACATTGAATGGTACTTTGATATTTCGACAGTTTTGACAGGTTCCGCCGAACGTGATAAAAACTTCACGGTAAAGGTGGCTTGCAAATAGCTGTGTGGTGATGCTGAATTCAATGAAGAGAGGAACAATTTGAATATAATGATCGTCTGGTTGCTGCATTTATCTGTCTGATCTAGATATAGTTTCTATAATTTAAATTGGAACCCATAAATCCGTGGAAAACGTGACAGAAATTACTACGTTATGTTCAAGTGATCTAAGGCTTGCTTTACGAAAGCTGATAGCGCTATTCACCAAAAATTGATTTTTTCAACCGTTGTCAACATGTCTGAAGAGCAATGAAATTACAGCTTTGGAGCTAACAGTAATTTTCATCTTCAAATTTAAGAAGACGAATAAATTTTAGAAAATTGACTTCCATATTATAAATGTTATATTCAACACTCTAATATCGATGAAAGAACAAATTTAAAGTAACGAATGAAAGGACATGTCATGAATAGAGACTACAATAATGAGGAACATATGGGATGCGATTGTTTAAAGATAATTATCTAATTTCAGGTGTTAAATAAAATGTTTGTTTATTTCAGGTATTAAATAAAATGTTAATCAAATAAAATGAGTTGTTTTCTCAAAGATTTATTAGTTTTATTTGATCTCTAAGGGGTTCTTCACATGAGCCCGGTTACCGCGAGATTTAGCGAAACGTAAAATGGACTTTGATGTATTGAAAAAAGTCTTTTCGAGGCAAAACGATCACATGCTATTGCTAGGACGATAACACGACTACCATAATTGTGTTATTCACTCATTTCAATACCTCAAAGTCCATGGTACGCTTCGTTAAATCTCGGTAACCGGGCTCATGTAAAAAGCCCCTATTAAGACCAAAATATCAAAAGGATAAGAGCAATTTCTTTTATGCTAATGTAGGATACATTTATTATAGTATGTAGGATAATGTAGGATATCTACAATACATTTGTTACATTGTATACATATGTTACAATTATTTTGCCGATCATTTTTCATCAGATCAGATCGTTTTCATTGATCTGTACGCAAACTACGAAGAAGTATTGTTTGAAGGAGTTCTAAAAAGTAATTTTGAGCAAAGATCAATGCAAAAGAAAATTTTAATTTTTGTACATTATCCTGCCATACACCGTTCAACGACCGCTTACAAGACATTTATATTTTCATTCGCGAATGCAGGGTGAATCAAAAAACCTTAACCACAATTTTTTATAAATATTCACTTATTTTAATAGGGAACAGACTCGTAGGAAACAAATCGGAACAATTATATAAGTTTGCGTTTTTTATACACCTTGTATACATAACTAACAATGAATACCCATGTTTTATTGTTTTTATTTAACAAAGAATTTTGCATGGTACTCACCTGGAGAATGCTCTGTTAAGGAAGCAGGTGACCAAAATCAGTCTTTTCGATACCAACTCTCTCCAAAAACCTTGTATTGACTGGGTTTTCCATATAATCTGGTCGGTACAAAATCCAGTCGGTTAAAGAAAGCCTACAAGAAAAAAATCCAAGAACGGCTCTGAGACTGATTCCCAAACGATCGCCAACAGCTTCAGATAGCAGTGGAAACGCCGTGCAGGTTAAAATTAATGGGGGGGGCATTAAAAGGTTTAAAGAAATATTTTGAGGGGTTCATTATAAGCGAAACGAACATCGAATAAAATTTTAAACTACTTATGTATAACATAAAAGGATCTGCGGGGTAACCCCTCCCCCCTCTAGCGTTTCCACTGTCAGATTTGTACCCCCACGATGTTAAAAAACTATTATGCCTGACCCCTTTAAAGCCCAGTCTCTGGCCCATATTCTGCCGGCACCCGCCCACTATAGGGCACCAGGGGCGTGGCGAGTGAGTAACCGTGTGCGGCGTGTGGCCGTGTTTACCAATTTTATACTAATTAATGAATCCCACTTTGCAATCCGGGTACGCGGGAAACGTTTTTAACAAGCTGACTTACCACACTGATATACTCCATTTTTATTTTAGGGGGATAGCCTTGTAGCATTGTTTTATCTAAATGACATCTCGAAACTGCCATTATTGAAAATCGTTTGCTTTTTAATCTTCCAAATCTTCAGAAACGGCCTATTTTGAGCTGGAACAACATTCAATATTAAAAAATAATCAGTGCAGTATGTTACACATTTTACTCGAATTTTGTGCTATATTTTTTGACCAATAACAAAGCATTTTAAACAATTTTTCGACATTGCAATGTATTGTCTATTGACCTGTGTCATACGACAGACCCCGGGTAGGCGGGTACAAGGTTGTCACAACCCAACCCCCCTCCTCACACACACCAACTACGGTGGCCACGCCCCTGTACTCGGCCTGTATCTAATCTATTGAAATTTTCCTTCGATTATCTGCTACAGAAGCTCTGATTTCCTCACGAGTAAGTAGACAGCATCGAGTAAAAACTAAAATAAGACTGCATGTCCGAACAGATTTATATCAATTTCGATGTTGCGAAGGGAACCAAACCGGTACCTTGGTTTCTAACTTTATGACAAATGACGACCGACTTTCCTTCCATGAGCGATTTATTTGTTTTAAGTTTTGACCTCCCACTAGTGGCCAAAATCTCGTGGTATGTGGGCACTGGGCAGCCTGTAGACTTGCTACAAGTTGACTCTTTAACCCACACGCGAGCTTGAGCGACTGAGCGTACCGAAGTCGCGAAAGCGAGAGAAGGGAACGCGCGGAAGAGTCGACTTGTCAAACTTGCTTCGCGCCATTTTTGGCGACCCAAAATCAGGTCGCTGAATTAATTATTATAATTATCATTTCGACTATTCAGTGTGAATAAAAATGTCAATCAAGGTGTCGATATTGGTGTCTGATTTCACTTGATTAGAAAATACTTTGATATGACTTCCATTATCGAAGCGATTGACAAAGCAAAGAAGTCTGTTGGTTACTCGGAAGTCGGAACTGAAAGAGTATCAGCAGAACACTGTTCAGGCATATCTTTCAAACAGAGATGTCTTCGTTTCGGCGCCCACAGGAGCTGGGAAAAGCCTTGCATTTGCAGCCTCATACCTAGGCGCTTTAATAGTAAAAAAAAGACGCCGTTCTGGCGTTAACTCCGGCGCACGTGCCAGTCTTCAATATAGAGCTTCTGGACATAAACAATACAGTTCGCGTATTGTTTCGCATACATATTCGCATTTAGATGCCTTACGAACCTAAATGTTCGATTGCGAAATTCAGAAGCACATCGCAGTATAGAAGTTCAATTGTTCAAAAACGTAAATAAACCGCATGATACATTTGCTTCGTCTTACACTTTGCCTTTGGAATTCGCGCTTATATAGTTGTATTAAATCTTCGATCTTGTGCAAACTACGCGACGTGTCAACGCGCCCATACACGACCACATCATCTTGTTAAACGGCGAAATAGCAGCGATATTATTAAAATAGGACCGGGTCTACATGTATTAAATATATTCTTACCCCAATTCAATCTAAACTTAATCGAACAGCATGAAAAGAACGGTTTATTTGTTCCTCTTGGAGGAATTGCCGTATCATGCGAGCGAAATCGAATCGCGCATTGGAAAATTAGCCAAAAATGTGCACCACAACTCTTGGGAGATAAGACTGGGACGTAGATAAATACGGTCACATACAAGTTTTAAATACTAGTATATTTCGCGCCATTACAGACTTGCGACGACGAAAAATAAAAAAAAAAATAAAAAAACAAAAACAAAACAAAACCGGGGCGAATTTTCAACTCCGTCGCTGACGCCGGAGTAATAATGTTGCATTCAGTTATTGTATAGAGGTCAGCTAAAAAAACGCGAGTGCGCGGAGGTGCTTGGGGCACTGAGCTATATAATAATTCCTGGAGGACCGGCTCCTAATGTTTTTTGCTCAAAAAGTGAAGCAAAAAACATGGCGGATTTTGGCCTCTGTGACGTCATTTTGACGTCACCTGGTCCCCTTTGCCCATGGTAATTACCACTGACCAGGCTCAATTCTGAGCCCGCTACAGTAGATCCCCCCCTGGTTTTTATGAATATTTTGTTTCTTCCGACTGCCGTGAAACCTTGTTGTTCTGTTTTTTCGATATATTTTTTACCTAACCCGTAATAAAGCGTTTATTTCGGTTATGTACAAATCATAGGTACTGTTTTTGCAAATGCCAAAACAAACAAATATTGGGCGAACATAAAAAATATCTAATACGTGGACGAAAGTCGAAAATTTTACAATGATATGAAGCTGACAGGTTTTTTCTCTTTTCTTTGTTTTCAATTTCAATATACATTCCTGTATAAATTTATATTATATATATATTTTTTTTTATATGTATATATTTTTTTTTGGGCATTGTCGTAATTTTTTAGTGTCTTTTATGGATACCAATCTGACTTTTCTTAAACCCTGAACTAAAGATTACAGAAAGTATCCAGTTATGACTGTTATGTTGTCCTGTGTCCATGCCTGTGCATATTAAATCTAAAGAAACAAGGCCTAAGCTCATGCAAGATATTGGGCAGCAGATTAGCAATTGTAATGAGTGGGGGATACAATAGTTATAACCAGAAGTGATATTTACATGGCATATATTTATTTAGGTCATACCTTGTGCCTCAATGAGCCACAGACAATGTATATGCTTTTTGTAATCCACCTTAGTTTAAACCTGTAAAGGTGTCCCTGTGTGACTTAAGAAAAGTCATTGATGATTTGCATTTGATATGAAATTATACCTAATAGCAGGGGTAGTACAAATATAATAGCCTAATGATTTCACAAAAATGCAACTGTGCTTGTTGACCCCTCCATTAGTCAGTCTATTATCCAAAAACCCTGATTAGCCCAATAATTTTAGCCCTTTAATGGTGTGTGGGGGAAATGCATTGTCCAGGAAATTATAAAAGTTGTTGCAGATTGAAGACACACTGCTCAATTAATGCATTTTTTTATGCATTTATTTATTATTTTTAATCTGAAAAACCATTGTAAAAAAATGTCAGCCAACAACAACCAACAAGTCTATATAGTAAAATTATCAGTACAATGTTCCAGTAACTTGCATAACAAGCTATCTCTTGTTAAATTCTATAGCATCTTCATCCTGAAAAATGGAGATCTTTTTAAGATTAACTGTACTCAATATATACAGTACTCTGCACCCATTGAGAATAACAATAATACTAATCAACATTAAGAGCAAATTAAATGTAGATTGATTATAAACAAGGTGCAAGAAGTCCATTAAACCATGATAAATTGACTTTTGACAAGGCAAACAAGATAACATATTAGACCTTTAACAGCCACTACAAGTCTACCAGAGGTTGAAATCTGAGAGTGATATATTTTGTATCAGCAGTCAGCACCTCAAAATTCAAAAGATTGACTATTGATAGCTTTCTGACACAAAAAAGTTTTCCTATGAATCCTATCGTAATTAAGTCACGTACCAAAGGTCAAAAAGGCTAATAAAAGCATATAACTATTTATCCAGACGCTTTTGCAGTTGTTTATACTATAGTCCGAAGGCAAAAAAGTTCAAAAAGGAAAATAATTTGAAAACCGGCTCACCTGAGGCAAAAATAGCTTTCCCGATAAGTGAATTAAGCCATTCACAACGTCATATGTAGAGCAAGAAGCCGCTTCTCCATTTACTTTGTCGAACAGGGAAAAAGATAAACAATTTTATCTTTTTTAGAGGAAATACGAAAAAAATATATACCGAAAATCAAAAATATTTTCGTAAAAACCAGGAGGGAGACACATAGTTTTTCACTTTGTATCGCGGTATGTCAGTGGTAATTACCATGGGCAAAGGGGACCAGGTGACGTCACAAAGCTCAAAATCCGCCATGTTTGTTGCTTCACTTTCTGATCAGGAGCCGGTCCTCCAGGAATTATTATATAGCTCAGTGGCTTGGGGTGGTTTTGCCAAATTTAGCTACCTCGCTAAAACCAACCTCCCCAAGCACCCTTGCGCGCTTGCTTTTCTCAGCTGAACTCTATACAATACCTGGATGCAACGTTATAGATTTTACTATTAAAGCGCCTGGGTACGAGGTAGCCTGCGTCGCAGACCCATGCCCGAAATAGAAAGGCGGGGAAAAAGAGGGTCTGCGTATCAGAGCCAAATTTCGTGTACTGTAATTTATGCAAAATGTGACGTAAATTGAAATTAGTAATTAATTTTCGCAAAATATGCACGAAACATTTATGATCAAATTTCACAATTCACATGTTCGTCGATCTTCCTTTGAGTCTGCAACAAAAACTTTATCGTCTTTTTGATCTTCATTAACAATTTGCAATGTAAATGCCAATGTCGAGTACTCACGAGTGTATCCTTTGTAAGGAGATTATCGGGAGAGCGAAGGACAAATACCTAGTTCAAGGACGGAGCAAAGAAGACTTTGTGTTTGAGCTTAACAGCTTGCCATTTGTTGTTGACTCCCACGAAAAATATTTTTATTATTCCGCTCTAAACCAACAAAGCTTTGTTGATCGTGAGTAACCAATCAGGCTTCGTAATTAAATATGTAGCCAATCACACAGCGTCCCCCAGATTCTGGGGATAAATAATTATAGAACACGGAATTTGGCGCTGTTACATAGACGGTATTTCCGCCATATTCCGTCTATGCGTAGACTAGGTACGAGGCTGTTGCATTTGAGTTAACACGGCAGCCTGCGATTATACGTATAGTAAATAGAGAAAATGGGAAATGATGTTTTGCAAAAGTGGAAACACTGGTTAAAAATTTGAAATTACGCAATGGAAACAAAACCACATGGTCTGACATGGATTATCATCACTGAGCTATATCATGGTCATATTGTTTTGGTTAAAATGGTATTAACAATCGTTTCAAGATAATAAAATAGGTACAGTATATATGATAAGTAAAGTGTAGTATAAAGGTAGAGTAGGATTGGATTTTACACTTCGTTTTATGTTGACGATGTTCAAAGAAAACAACATTTAATTTAAAGTCAAAATGGTTGGATCTGGACAGTTGAGCTAGTAAACACATGTCATAGGTGTGCTATAATTAGATGGCAAGCTTCTTGTAAAATAAAAAGAGGTTTAACATTTTGAATATCTATTTGATAGAACATTTATGATTTATGTCAGGGGGGTGCACATTTCACTGTTTGGAGTGCAAAATACTTTGCTGTATGAACAGTAACTTTGATGAGATCATATTGTCCACACATTTATTTTGTGTTCGCTTTACACTTCCAAAATTTGAAGAGTGTCTGTCTATGCAAATATGAAATACTCATACCAAGCTGATGCAAAATATTCTGTGAATGATTCTATGGCACTAACAATGGACAATTTTGCTCTGCTGACCTTGCAGAAAGCAGCCAAAAAGTTATTGTCTGAACAGTGATGTGCAAATTACATTTGGTTTTTAACCACCACAGGTACTCAATGAGCTACTGCTATTGAACTAATAGAGATCAATCGCAATCTGGATTTACGTACCTAGGGCTTTGCATTAATAAAAACTTATGTTGTGTACCTATAAGCTAATTTTTTATATTGTGATATCACAATGCAAAATTACAAGAATATTAGTTGTATGAAATTGTAATATCAATAGAATAATACCTTGTGGCACCATGTGACAAAGGAAGCTCTTGCATTGGCAGAACTAGCCTACTAATAGTTTTTGTGGAACAAACATACATAAATAAAAATGGCAATTTAGCAAACTGGCTTACCTGGCTTTATGAGTTATGAGGCCTTGAAGAGTTATGATTGCTTAGATTTAAAAAATGGAAATTTGATTTTGAAGATGAAAGTCAATTGGTTTTTGCTAATTATAATATTTGTTGAGTCAGCTATAGCTAGAGCATGAAACTTCATATTCAGTTAGGTTTTGAACATAAACAGTCGATAAAAGATTGTGATTTTGTTTACACATGGTAGACATCTACATGCAAACCCATAATCTATACAAAGACTCAGATGTCTTTGAACTCCTTCGATTTATGAAGAACTTGAACAGACCATCTGTAGCCTAACAGCTAGGTGACTTTGTGACAGGTTTTTAAAGATTGTTAAAAATCAAACAATTTAATGAAAGTGTTGATCTAATGTGAAGATAATTCATGAAAAATATATGATAAAATGCCTCTCTAGCATATCTTTAATCAAAAAAACACCTTTATATAACTTAAGGTGGCTTGATAGAGTTTTCAAAAATTCCATTGTTCATCACTTTGACACGTTCAAACAACGCATTTTTATAATTTATTCTAGAGATATTGGGGTTTTTATATATTTTGATGTCTCTACTTTTGAATCGTATTGGTTTTAGTAACAAATCGTCCGTTGCTATGGCGACATACGTGTACAAAATTCACTCCAAAATGACCAATTGCCTCGGATGGTTGGAAAAGAGGAACGGTGACCCCAATTTTTTTTCGTGCATTATTTTACTGGAGAGAAAAACTAACAATTACCAATATATAAAATTCTACAGTGCCACATTATTGAAAAATGCATTTTTTTGCCATTATAGAATTTTTTTTATTTTTGGTATTATGAGAGACACGTGTAGTAACAACATGTAAAATTTCAGCATAGTTCACCGTACGAAATTACGAGATATAGCGCGCTTTTTTGGTCAAAAGTGGAATTTTTTAATGACATGTGCTATTACACGCGCGGGGTCTTGGCAGTCCGTTCGAAAATATACTAGAAACATTGAAATATGAACTCGCAGCATTTAGCGCTCTAGCACGGTAACGCTGCTACGTGATTGGCCAATTTTTCCCGCCAAATGACATGACGTTTTGGATGCTCATGCGACCGAATCGGAATAACAGATTGTCAAATATCGCTTAATTAAAAATCATTGCATTCAGGTCTTATATAGAGGTCAGCTGAAAAAAGCAAGGGTGCTTGGGGTGGTTTGTTCATCAACCTTAATCTTTAATTGTCAATGTAAATCATGCGTACGTCATGTTATTTACACATAGTGAAACTTGGCTCAAATATACTGTAGTTAATACTGCATTGTGTTAACTACAGTAATGTTTCATTGTCTATGTTATGAACCAGCCAATCAAATTGCGTTTGTTATTTGTATTTGATATAGAGTGATGGAAAATCCGATACTTTATTCAGAACAACGACGTAACAAATTGTGTTCATTGCATGAGGTGAAATTGGTTTAATTTGAAAACGGATACCTTTCTAAGCGATCATTTTAATATGGATCCTGAGACAGCAACAAACCTCCAGAGTCCCTGCGAGGAACAGCCTGAACAGACTATGGAAATTGAAAGTAGTAACATCAATAATAACGGGGGAGACATTCTTCAAAAAGATGCGGTCGAACCAAAAGTTGGATATACCGGTACCTGCAACCATAACGATATCTCCGACCCGCCGGTAAGAGATTGCAGTAGTAACCAAAAAACAGCCCACGAAAACCTCAAAAACGAGTTGACTTCAAATACGACTGCTTTAGAGAGAACAGATTTGATTATTCCAGCAGATGTTGATACGGGGGAACCTAATGTCATTTCTTCTGATAATAATGAAGGAAATTTTTGCCACGCTCGTTCAAACAATCTTGTCGTAACCCACAACGGTAGCAACCAGTCGCTTGACAAGGAAGATGTTTCCATTAAACACAGTCTTCCTAATGAGAGTGCAGTTCCTGACGAGCAAAATGCCAGAATTGATTCTTCAGTGGGCTGCGAAAGCCTGATGGCTGAAGAAGCTCACCAAACTGAGACCTTTCCCGAGGATCTTCTTGTCGTTTTATCTATTGCTGAAGAAGACATGCGAGCGCATCGTTTGAGGTCAGCACCAATTCCTAGAGAGAGAACGAATGGTACGAATCACATTGTGGCATTCATCGAAGATGAATTCTTAGATACCTCATCGTCGAGCAGCGAGTCTGATGATTCAGATTCAAACAGGTGTGAAACATTAGCAAAATAAGTAATTTAGGTTGTAGGTGCACCACGTACAGTATTTAATACTGCAAAGCTTTCATTCCGTTAACCCGGGCCTTCATCAGTGCAATTACCTGAATACACATTGTTTGGTAAGTGAAACCGTTTAATTAATGGCACGACTAACGTGATATTTAGTGTATTCAGGTAATTGCACTCTTGAATGCCTGGGCTTACGGACCGAAAGCTTTGCAGTATTTGATACTTACATGGTGTACCTACAAGCAAGTTACTTTTTGATGTAACCATGGAAACATACAAGAATATTATATTAGCAAAAGACTTATACAAATTATACAGCAGTTGGGTCACGAGGGGGTGAGGGTGGTGTAATTACCCCAGGGCCGAGGCTCTTTGCTGTGCTCGGGGCAAATAAAACGAGGATACCATTAAGCTGAGAGCTTACTGGAAGAGGTAAATATACGACTCTGTAATGCCGTTTGCCACAATCTAGAGATTTCTAATTTGAAATTGCTCGCCTCAGGTGCCTCCTGCGGGAAAGGCCATAAACGATGATCCACCGAACAGACCCAGGCCGAAATATTGACCTATGACCCGCTTAACCACTCGACGGCCACTTAACCACTTCGACCACTCATTTACCCATAACTATCGATATTTTCATTTGCACAGTGATGAAGATAGAGCAGAAGACAGTAAAGTCGAGAGATCAAAAATGCAAGAAGGAGAAACAAGCTATGATACGGGCCCACCTAAAACTAAGGATGAAATCATGCTTTCGGTAGTTCAATTTGCCTATTAACGCATGTCGCGGTAGTCACCTGTAATGGATAATTTCTGACAGGGGAATTTGAGGAAGAAAGCTCTTACGATATCTTGTTAAAAATTAGACTCGTATAAGATGAGGCTTGATTAACTTCTACATATACGTCTTTGTCACTCACTAAAAGTATCTTTTTCTATCCTTTCAGGATCTCCCCAACGTTGATCCACTTAATCTTTTCGTAGATAAATCTGTTGTAATAGAGCCATTGGGAAAAATTGAAAGTATAATTTATGGGGAAGCATTGGGTAAGGTTTATGGCTTTATGCAGCCAACTATACACGCAGTGAACTATGTATACATTCTTAGCTAAATATGGTTTCCTAGTTCAACGCTCTACCAACTGAACACTTTTTTCGCAATAATTTTAATTCTATAGAATCTTTTCAAACATGCAATTAACCTATTGAACGACTTAGCCCAGTTGGTAGAGCTTTTGGCTATCTAGCAAACGAATATTTTGCTCGTCTGGTTTTGCCTGATTCATACTGTTACCACAAAAATGTACTTTTTATTACAAAAACCGAACCGAACTACTAAAAACTATGCGATAAGATTCCAGGGATTTGCATGCACTGTGCATTAGGAAACTCCGATATGATAGAGTTCCCTTCAACAACCACTGTGATTGCAAGAAATTCAACTGCAAATATAAAATTATCCTCTTTAATTATTTCCGAAAATTGCACTTTGATTACCAGGAATCACACGCTGCGATTACTAAAAATGGCATTATCATTAAAAAAACTTTCTTAATTAATTTGTGCGTATCACGTCGTATACCAGCTTTAGAACATCATTTATTTATGTGTAACTGCGAATTTGTAACGATCGATCTCTATCACTGTATGTTAGATGAATCGTATCCCACACTAAGTTCTCGCAAGTGCTTGAAACCCTTGAAGTACTTAAATGTCAATTTCAAAGCTGCTGTACTTGAAGTCCTTGAAAAATGCAAAATAAAATCAAGTGGCGGAAAATACTTCAATATCGCACGAAAACATACGAATGCAGTTAGTTTGGATGACGTGCAATTTTATTCAGTAATACCACGAAAGTGAAGTGGAGTTTGACCGGCGGTCTTACAAATCGACAGAGCAAACTATTTGCCCGGGGTTCTTCGAAGCAAACAAATCATGGCAATCATGGTGCCTTTAGAAATCCGTTTTTAGCTCAGTAAACTATTCGAAACCGTTTACGACATCCGTTCATCTAGATTTGGACGGCAATTAACGAACACCGGGCGTCAGTTCCATCCCTGCATGTGACAATCTTTGCATGTCATATTTTGCCCTACAAGATGGAATAAGTTTCAAAATAATCCTGTGATATTGTTACTCTGAGTTACCCACCGTGCAACCCACCATGCAGTACCGAAACTAGAACGAAAATATTCAATTCTGTCCGATGGTTCTCTGTTGTAAGATATTCCACTTACAAAAGAAATCCGTCGGGTAGAACCGAATATATAAATAACCCCCTCCCCCCCGCCCAATTATGGTTCTAGTTACGGCCCTGCCACCATGCAACTAGTTTGACCACGGTGGAAATCGAATGGTTTGCTAATACAATGCTCTTCCGACTGGCCTCGGTCAAAATGTCTTGACCTAGTAGCTCAGTTGGAAGCGCATTAGACTAACAAACCAAAGGTCTATTCCGGTATTCCCTACGTAGTCAAGCTACACAAAGTAAAGCAAGCTTGCCAGGTTGTGGCTCGAGTAGCATCAATTCATATACCTGAGTCATATGCATCATCACTATAAAAATAATGTGTTAACACGGTTGGCAGTTGCCATCACGTTTAAAATTATTTTTTCTTTCATCTAGTCATAATCAAGTCATTCGAACTCGTTCCCGCAGTTGACGCTGACAGTATCTTGCTGTTGGAAAATCGATCTGGCTTTGGGAAAGTATGATTTCTTACAGTGTAATCTGGTTTTACTTTTGGCAATTGCATTGGCTTACGAGCCTTAGAGTATTGCTTGGAAGGTCTGGGCGACTGAAGATTGTAGAGAGACGGGGAGGGGGGGGGCGTGGGAGAAACGAGATTTTTCGTCCCCTCTTCGGCTTTGCCGTATTGGTTAACTTAAAGATCCCTGTTATCTGAGGTTTCACCAACAGATAACGCATGCTTTGCCAAAGTTATGGCTAATTGCATGCAAGATGGTACTTTTATGACATCTGTATTCTGCTTCCTTGTTCGGTCAATAATGTTTAAAACGTATTAGTAGAGGGTGATGTTCTGAGTCCGACTCACAATCGTGTTTTCATTGTGTTTAGGTATTTGAGATATTCGGTCAAGTGAAATCTCCGCATTATTGTGTAAGATTTAACAACGATGAAGAAATCAAATCAACAAAAGTTGAAGTTGGGCAAACGGTGTACTACGCTCCGCAGGCGAAAGATGTCACTCATTTTGTATTCGTCTCCAAACTGAAAAAGTAAGATAAACAAAGTAGCGTCTGCTAATATACTTTGAGAGTTTTTAGCGACGAAAGTCTTCTAAGTTAAGAACTACTCTATTTTAGAGGGGAAATTTTTAAATTTACAATATTGCATAAAACTGCCTAAAGTAGACAAAAACACTTCACGTTTTGACGTAAGGGCCTTCGTCCGGAGAGTTAGTAAGATACTAACTTTCCTCACGAAGGCCCTTTGGCCGTTCTTTGACTACATTATATGCGAAATTGTTTGAAAATGGTGCCACGCTGCTGTCTGGTTATATTGGAACGTACCTTACACTATACCATTTGTTTAGTGCGAAGGGATCTGATGCCTCCTGGAAACATGATCAGGAACCACCTGAGATGGTGAGAAAATATCAATTGACAAATTCTGCAATTGCGAGAGCCTCTCCTTGAATGAGCCTTTTTTTCTGTTTCAGTTATTGGAGTTCTCAGACGACGAAGCTGAGGCGAAAGCAAAAGCAGGGAGGAAAAAAGCGAATCAGCTGAAGAAAAGGTACAAAATCAATTACGTCATGGATGAAAAAAATCCTAAATTATTTATGTTGGGAAAAACTTCTCCTTGCCGCATTGCATTGTGGTACCTGTATATAAAATTTTACTCATGGATTACCTTACTTTAACAAATCAAACAGCAGTGGTTTGATGTTTAAACGCTTTATATGAATAGTCCAACTTTTAGACTCTACAACTCTTCCTTTTAGAAATGAAGGGCACCTTCAAGAGAAAGGTAAGCCACGTACAACCCCCCCCCCCAAACACCCACCAAGAGGATTTTTTTATCGCTTATAGACCCCGATCAGTTTATCTCTAACGATAACCTATTCTAAGTAGCATTTTTAGAGCGCCTTTTTCTAATAAGCTTCCTCCCTCATAAGCCCCACCTATTTCACCTAAACGATTTACGTAGATTTTCAACACCCACCTCACAAGAGGGTTCATAGGGTAATCATGATTGATTAACTAACTAAATGCCCTTTTGTTCTTCGGTCAGTTACAACCAGGTTATCTAAATTGGCGGGATAGGACTGGGACTAGTTTTTAAAAGAATATTTTTCTCAGTTAAAACAACTTAATATCTCTTCAAATATACTTCGGTTTCAAACTTATTTCAGAAACTATAATTCTTATAACTAAACGTAATCACAAAATTTCGGCTAGTTTTATGAAGAATAACATTAATATAATTGATTAAATACTGCTGAATGGATTTTATTTCGGCAATCCTTGTAAATGCTGATTGACTAAAGTATGAGCGCAGGGTAGCCTGGAAGGGAAAATGACCACCAAGCGCATGTCAGGTTGTTTACCAAAAAAATTGAATACAGCCTGAAATGAAGTTTTATTTTTCTCGTATTTGTTTTCCTGCAACGAAATCGACAATACTTGTGCAGCGAATTTTGTTTGTTACTAAAAGGTGGGTATTTGAACAGTTTGGCCTATCCTGCTTATTGATAAGTTCAAAATTTCAGGTTACAGAGACCTATCTATGTACATGTTTTAGGCAACTCATCTTTAACAATAAATACTCATCTTTTTAATTTCATTTAATAATTTATACTTTTCTCGATTTTGCATTTTCAGACACGACGGAAGCAACCATCCAAACTAAAAAGCAAAAATCGTCAAGAAAATCTTGCAAACACGCACAAACAAAATCGCAACATCGATCTCAGGCTACCCTCCGACCCTCTCAGCAGCCGTCCCACGTTGTTCCCCGTCCCTATCAACACCCACGAGCCCTCAGAATACCACCAGCATCATTAAGACACCAAACACCGCCAGGACCCAATGTGTCAAGAGGCCCATGTCAACCATTTCCCCCGCCTCACGTGGGACCACATTTTGATCAACAGTATTATCCGCAAGCTGCACACAGATTTGCCTGTGGACCGCGATACGGCCCTCCGCACGATAATTTTATGATACCTCAAGGACCGCCCGAATACATTCAGGGGCATTACAGTCAAAGGGTGCCGGGTACCGAATTTATTGGACCACCATTCCAAAATATGGTTCCACCGCCAGGGGTGCGTGGCACCTCACACAACGTGGGGCTGGGGGCTTCTCCTGTTGAGCGACCTGATCATCCAAATACGATGGCACAAGAACAAGCGACCGCATCATATTTCAATCAACCACCATCACAAAATGTAATGCAAAGACCACCGTGTATAACAGCGACGCAGCCGTGGATGAGTGGTGGTAATGTTTTACCAAATATGGCACCTATGAGCCGTTGGGCTGTCGATCAACCCCACACAAGGGTAGGACAATCACCCCCACCTCTAATGCAACAACACCCATCACAGCCACCAAACATGAAATACGAACACGCGCAAAATATAAGAGAAGATCTCTCACATCATGAAACTCGACCATCGATGACTCAAGGTAATGCTTCACCCTGTACGCCGCCTGTGAACCTCCATCGTTTGCCCACCACGCAAGGGTCTGCAATGGAGCATTCGTCACAGCCAGACCCGCCAGGTGTAAAATCACCAAAGAACCCCATTCAAACAGGTCAAAACTTTGGGGAAGTTCCTGAACCGCCTAAAATAGTACAGGATTATCTCGATTCGTAGACAGTACAGTTGAAGGGCCGTGAAAGAGAGGGAATTTGTATTGAACAGATGGACACTCCTCGTCAATAAACTGTCCCTGACTCCCTGTTCTTGTTTATATTACTTTTATTGGGTTCTTTCAGTTTTGACAAAATAAGCCACCATTTCGGGTGCATGACATGAGCCTTTTCTTTAACTGATTAGCTTGATTACTGTAAATCCGTAGTCGTGCAATTTCAGTTGTTTGGTTTGATATCAACCAGCGGTATTTTTAATTTGCCACCCAAAAATACCGACAGGGGACAAGAAGTTCGAACTATGACGCCACTAAAAATTGCTTGATCACGAGATCTGGATTTTGTTTCAAATGATGAAATCAACAAAGAAACATTTCAGAGTCTTAAATTTGTTGCATGGTTACGGTATACTTAAGATTTCCCTCACAACCGCAGGTTATTCATTTTAACAGTACGGTGAACCAACTGCATACCAGAAAACGCAATGGAGTTTTTGCTTGTGCCGTTAAAACGATTCTTCCAAGTAGCATCCCTTTCCAAAAATTGGCTTGCCACATATGCCTTGCAAACGGATCTTCCTGGATACCTTTTCTCTTTTTCTTCTTTTCCATGCAAAAATAATCTCATTAAACGTATCTTTGAATTTGATCCCAACCTTTGAATTTCCTTGAAGAACTGTTTTGTTGTTGGCTTTTCTTGAATCGCCATACTTTTCTTCTTATTAAACATCTATTTAAACATATATTTAACGGAATTTTTCCCAACCTTGGAACTTCTTGAAAGAATTGCTTTGTTCGCAAAGCACAAGAGGTTTGGTTCCTGAGAAATCTTAAATACTGAGTTTGTAATTGCATGTATTCAAGTGATATAAGACTGATGAAAGAGCATAAGTAAATGGTCACACTATGCTTGATTCGGCAGTCACGACATATTTTTACGTTTCACAGAAGATTTGTCTGGGCACATGAAATAAAAACCTTCACAGCTATTTCAATACCTGCAAAATTTGATCTGGTCCCGTATCGAGGGGTTAAATTCATGTAATTGCAAATATCGTGTGATTTTCGTGTAATTTTCTGTGTTTATTTTTGTCCTGAAATAGTCGACTGTATTGTAGTGATTCTGCAGCTTTAGATACACGTATATATTTGAAGAAGTGCATGGTAGTAAAAAAGTTGATGTGCATGGCCATTAATTGCTTCTTAAATAAATCTGAAGCTACTTAAAATTGCTAGGAAACGCGAAACTCTTTCGTGCTTTTATATCGAAGTGCATGCTTTTTAGATTCCTACATTGCTTTTCTTTTATCCCCCTTCTGTTATTTAGTTGCGAGGCCGGACTTAAGTAATTGTTATTAATATGGCTGCTTACCTAAGAGCGGTATATCCGCTCATATACGGTGAGTTAATGGCCTGGATTTTTTTTGTTTTAGATGCCAAAGCGCGGGTAGAGGTTTTCTCCTTTTTGCGAATGAGTATGTTTCTCTTTGATCTGCCCAGGCGTTGGTCAATTTAACGTGTAAACATTCCGCGAAAGATTGACTGAATTAAGTCAATAGCTGATCTAGTTAAATTTTTTATACAATATAGTAGCTATATTATAAAATAATAATACCACTCGCTCTCGTCGTATATGGCTGATAGCCGCCAACTCGTTGGTGCGCATGCACCTCGTCAGCTATCAGCTCATATACGACTTGAGTGGTATAATTCTTACTTAATTCCCACGAACGAGAAATTTTTACTAAAATTTTTCAAGTGCCAATGTTTTCTATTCTTTAGTGCTCTATGTTGTCCGCGTCTTCTTTGTTTTAAAAATACAGAATTAAGAAGGCTCTTCAATTTTTTGATATTCCAAGTGAAAACAGGAGCTGCCAAAATAATTGCAGATTATTAGATACCGTCGAGGGGTGTAAATCGGGTATTAAAATTAGGATTTTTCACAAGGACACGCTTCCAAGATTTAGAGGCAATATCGCTTGAAATTTGAAGATGTGGATCCGGATTAGAACAATGTTGTTACGTCTGGTTTCTACCAGCTGCAAACGTAAGAACTCCCAATAGTCGCAAATACCGGCAAAACCTAACAATATAAGGTCTCGACGGCTTTATAGAGAATAGAATTTTCATTTGCACTATATACTGTTTAAATTGAAGCATTTCGAACTGACTACTTTTTTATTCATGCAAGAAAATTCATTCGAATTAAGCGTACTAAAAAAGATTAGTAAAAATATTTGGTCTCGGAATGTTGTTAAATGAGGAAGATGTAGCCTTGTACTTACGTAGGGAAATGAGTTAACCCGTACCAATCGATCTCTGATTATAGGTGATGCTAAATGATCAAATAACTAGGAGCTACTTAGTAATTTTACTTGATAATTGTACTTCATTGAATTTAACTATTAATTTATAATATTAGATTGTAGTACATGTATAACAATGCCTGATTCCAATGAGATAATAATAAGAATTAATCAGAAAGCGTCCTCCGATCGGTACAGGATTACTGACGGAGACAGGCAAGTCATTTTTACAGTGACCTTAACATTAAAAAATTACCTCATACAGAGCCCCCCCCCTGGAACTTTTAGCCCAACCCTTGTGTGATTAACGAGTGGAAAAATTCCTTTTAAATTGAACTATTTAAAACATCCGCAAGAAAATGTATAAATAAAGCCTGTTTGCACTAAGGAAGACAGAAATTCTTCACCTCCGTCAGGAATTTTCAGCCTTGCAGACTGTGCATCGTATTTGAAGATTATGTTTCGTTATTCGATTGTGTTCTTTGCGCTTCTTTTTTTCTCCACTGCACACGGTTTGTGGGTGGCGACAAAAAATACCGATAAATTCATCAAACTGGCTCTATCCGTGTCGAAAGCTGCCTATCTACCATTCTCAACTGAGCGGTTCATCAGCAACGGTTATATCCAAGAGAGAACGACGCGCCATGGTTACCGAAGATCCTGCAGCATCGGAGATTGGGTGGCAAAAGGCTACGAAAGACGAGATACCGAGGTTTTGGTGTTTAGAAATCACAAACAAAAATTAGCTGTTTTTGGATTTCGTGGAACGAATACCTTAAACGATTGGTTAAAAAATTTCAACGTATTCCTAGTCGAAGTGAAAATTAGGGGAAAACGGTTCAGAATTCATCAAGGATTCAGAAATCGTTACTCCGACATAAAGAAATGGTTTGAAGCGGAATATCGTTCTATCCCTCGAAATTACAAAATCATTGTAACCGGTCATAGTCTTGGTGGAGCGATGGCAACCGTGGCCTCTACATTTGTAAGTGGACATTATCATCGGCGCCCAGATGCCGTCATATCATTTGGTTCTCCGAGAGTTGGGAACGACGATTTTCAGAAATATTACAGCCGTACCGTTGGATGTAAAAATACATTGAGGATCACAGCGAAATACGATATATTTCCTGTTCTTCCCGGAAAGGGTTTTGGCTACACAGATACATGCAAGCCTCAAAAAGTCAATAGCGGCGTCTTCCAGTTCAATCCTTTCATGAATCACGACTTGTACATTGGATATGAAGGAGGATTGAAAAGAAAATACGGAAATGATATGAAATCTATTAATTCCGGTTGCGATCGCAATCATCGCGGACGCTAAAATGATTGTAAGAACAAATTGTAGTTTTATAGCCTTATAGTACGTATTTCAAAGTAAAGTGTTGTGTTAAACGCTCTGCCTTAATAAGATTAAATACGCTTCAATACATAGTAATTTTGCATCAATAAAAACTCGTCACCGTTTTCATTCTTATTCGTATTATGCAATTCAGAATAATATCCTAAGTCCAATCCACATGCACGTACTCCAAATATACTGCATACGCATATATCTGTTACTGGTGTGGACTTGGATGGCTGAGCTAGGCCCGGTCGTTTTACTTGAATGCTTCATTATTACCTAAGAAAACGTCCTACTCTGCCCTTGCTAAGATAGCTGCAAATATTTAGCAGGGTTTCCACAATTTAAGGAAAGTGTCTTCAAAATGAGAGAGGGAGGCATCAGTGTTGATAAGATATAATATGCAGTCTTCAAAAGTGATAAGATATACTATGCAGTCTTCAAAAGTTCTTTGTTTTCCTCTTATGTCATTGCTATCCCCTTATGAGAACAATGATATGCAAATAAGTTGCACGGGAGCCCTGATATTAAGGTTTTGTAGGTTCAGGAATTTTATCTTCATCTCTCAAGCCTGGGCAGATATTTTTAACATATGTCGAATTTACCAATTTTGATAAACTTCCTTACAAGTTGTGGCTAAAAATAAAAGGCGTCTTTCTTCAAGCATTTCACATACAAAGGCATACACTTAGGCTAGTCTCCAGGCAACCTCGTTTCCTGCGTCTTTTAATTAACTCCAGGTCTCTTTATTCAAAAATTATTATTCAAAATGGCCGGTCTTAGTTTGAGGTTTTCGTTTAACGATTACTAAATTTGCAAATGCTAAATTATTTTAACTGACTATCGAGTGAGTATTATGGCTGAATGTTCAGTTGAAACCAATGAGGAAACTGTTTTCTTTCTGGTTGCAATTAGTAACAACCAGCTGATCTGGGTACAAAACTCAGCCAATCACAACTGAATTTTCATTTCTTTCATTTTTTTATAACTTTATGAATGATTCCTCTGTTGCTTTATTGACAATTGTAATATAGAGTTTTAATTTTGCTTCATGCATTTATGCTCTTATTAGGAAAAACGGGGCAAATACACCTTTTGGCTTTGCATAATAGACGAACTTTTGATTTAGGCGAGAAAGGGAATTTCTGAAAAGTGCATACAATTAAAAATTGGTAAAATTGCAAAGTTTGGCTGCTAAATATTGTAAAGTATGGATTTGTATTTTGTATAATTCTGTATTACGGGCGGACATGCATGTGTAACTAAATTAGTTTTACACTTTCGCCCGTAATAGAAAAGTATATAAAATTTGCCCACTTTTCGTGGCTATATTTTCCGAACTACTCGACCTTTTTCAACTAAACTTAATTGGCACTGATTATACTAATTTTAGTATGCTCTTCTTTTTAGCTATTTAGCTGATGTAATTTATTTCCTGCTTATTGCCTAGATCATAAGCGAGTCTAATTTGCAAGTGGCCATCAGCAATAACTAATAAGTCTGTTTTGTCGTGGCGCCCTTATGACGTCATGATCTCAGATCAGCTGGATTAGTGTGACACTCAAGTTTCGCACTTATCTCGCCTTTAGTCATCAATCGCTGATAAACATGCTCCGTGATTTCACGTCATTTACCTAAAACAATTTCGAAAAAAAAATTACGGCTGACGGTGCGAAAATGGACGAATGTTTTTTTTTGCTTCTCAACTACTGACTTTTAGTAGCTGAAAGCAATTTGTCAAATCTTCAAATAAAGCGCCTGAGTTGTTGTTTAATGGTTTCATATTTTCTATACCGTGGTAAAGCGTATAAACTATTCCTGCACGATTGCCGGATATGCCTGAGAACCGGTATCTAGAGGTTGACGCCATGCTTAGAATGGTTGACGCCAATGGAAAAATTTAACTGAATTTTAAACGTCTCAATGTTCAAAAAAAGCCTCTTCGAAGTCTAGTAACCACATTTTTATAGCAATAAATGAAACACAGGCCACAGGCACAGGCTTTACGAATTTGTGTGTCAATTACATGTCAGTTTTGCATGTATTCACTGTTAAAATGCCACACGACAGACACACAGACATTGGCATTTGGCAATACGAGAGACAATCGATCCGGAAACTCGTCTACAGACATTTTATTGATGCTGATATGGATGACACTAAATTATTGTATAAATATATTCATATATGTTTATTTTTCTTTCTTTCGATGAATTATTTAACAGTTATTCTGCGAACTCGAGTCGTATATGAGCTGAGAGTTTTATTATATACACAAACTTTGTCGCCCTTTCGGTGCATTTTGGTGTGCTATTATCAGCTAAAGCTTGGATTTCTATTTCACTTAACTCCCCAAATCTTTCAGCCTTTTTGTTTACTTTCTCTACTAGACAGATATGAGCTAATATCTGTCTAGTAGCCAACCAATGAAATTGCAACATACCTCATATCTGGCGCTTGTGTATATAATAAATACATATATTTGAATGTAGCATTAATGTTATCATTCATGCATACAACTTCGCCATCCAGGTCATGTTCGGGGTCAGAGCATGCCTAATTTATGTAATGAAATCTTTCAGATTAAAACTCAACGGTGGGGCTGTGGAAAATGGATATATTTTGAGCATAATTTATGAAAAACGGATAACATTAGATACACTCGGCGCAGAGGCGGCGCCACGGGGAGGACTGGGGGGGACATGTCCCCCCCAGTCCACCTCCAAATCAATTTTCCAATTCGTTCATAACCGATGAGAAATATGGGGGGGGGGGCAATGTTGTGGTTTTATTTATATATTAGCAATATTTTATACGAAACAAAAAACAAAAGGTTGTGGCATTTTTAATTATATATCTTAACGACCTCTTGAACTTTAGAGCTGCTTCAGGCGTTTTCTTGCACAAGATAAAGCAATGATTGATTGAATCGTATA